AACTAATTTTGTTAAGTTCATAAAATCATGATCTACCTGCTAGTGTACTTGGTTCACATGATTCTAAAATATTTCACAGATGCTTTAAATGTTTTAACATGCTCTAAAATTATTAAAGTATGAACTTGTAGGAATTTTTGTGGCAAAATAATGATAGTGTTAGCATTGAAAATTTTACAGTAGCTTCACAATATTATTATGTGCTTTCTGTAATTTTTGCAACTCCAGAATAATTAGTTTGCTAGAATACCTATTAAGCCCTGTTTTGAAAATATATTAAATCAATAAAATGAATTAAGGATATATCTGGGGATTTTGTAGCTAAAATACTTATTGGGAAGTAATGCCTCGTCCGACAACATAGATACGTAGCCTTGTGCGTTAGTCGCTAGAGCCAGCTCGTTAGTTTAGCAGCGTAATCATATTTTAGAGTTGCGATTACCGTGATCATTTACGTTTCTGCGTTGTATCCACGTATATCATAATAGGAACAACGATGGATCACGAAGACATCTGGAGTAGCAGAAGCAGATGGTGACGTGAAGATCATGCCACCATGACGAACAACTAACTTGGTTATATTTTACCCAGGCAAGCCCCGGTGCATAACCCCTATTATTCTGCACTTTTATCTCTGTGATGTGCATTAAGTTTTAAGGAGTTGAATGAAAACCACTTGCATATATATATCCTTATCCTATGAGTCTTACTAGTATGATAGGATCATGTAGATTGCTATGCTACAAGACTCCGGTAGAAGTCGAGTGATTGTCTGTCACTCGCGAGAGATAGGAAATATATTATTGTTACTATCACATGGAATATATATGGATAATAATTGGAGACCGGGCGGGACCATATATTAGATTTGGATTTGGATTTGGTTAGGTAACCGAGCGAGGCTCTGGTTGCGTTTGTCCCGCCTGTGTCGATTGAGGACCGTCCGTTGCATTGGATTCTAGTCAGGTCATAGACTTATTATCCTAAGCACATACTTGCTTATGGGGGCGGAAAGGCTCGTTGCTCTCTTATCGTGGGTTTTGGCTCTTTTCGGACCGACTGATTGGAGGCGGGGATGGTGAAGGTCTAAGCACCACACTGAGTCCGGGACTCAGGTGTGGGGGCTTGGAGTCCAAGTTTGGACGGAGACCTAGACCCCTTGATAGGAGAGTGGTGGGTTGGTCCTGCTTGTGTCTAGGGTACAAGCGGGACGTGTGTTTCAGGGTACCCAGCTGGGATACATTGATTCACGAATCGCCGTGTCATACGGTACGATTTGGCTACGATCTAGCACCGTAGTAAGAACTGGAATATGAAATATGGTAAAATGGTTCTGATTGCTTACCACCTGCTTGAAAGTAGCACAGGTGCTCACATAGAATGGTTAGTTAATGAACTAATGATGACTGCTAATGAAATTGAATATAAGGATGCACGCCTAGTAATGCTTCCTGCAGATGTAATAAAACCACAAGCTAGATAGCCTTGCATATCCTTGGAGTCTTTTCTTCCCTCCTGACGGGTAAGTCTTGCGGAGTACAATTGAGTATTTAGGGTTTATTCTACCCTGTTGCAGGTGACAGGAACATGTGGAGCTGACACTTGTGTGTGGAAACCTCCTGGTGGGCTCAGCGAGGTTTTTCTTAACGTTGCGGGCATAGAGTTTATTTGAAACTTCCACCCAAAATGTTTTACAATGGAAAAACTTATAACCTATTGTGATGTATATAACGGATCATCATGTTAATGTTTAACTTGTCATTAAATGATTTTATTTCCGCTAAAACTCTGATAACATGGTTATATTCGCTGTTATAAACAATAAATATTATACTTCGATGTTGCATGGAAAGTGATGTAAGAAATGGCTAAAATATTGTAAGCTTTATTCTCCCATTTATGATCCTGTTGAAAATGTGGATTTTTGGGTTCTCTCATGGGGTGTGCTCGACAGAACTGCCTGATGTAGCTCATCTTCGGGGTGCTTAGTGTCTAGTGGAAGACAAGCGCCTCCGTAACTGTGTTATTTCGGATGGTTCTGTCATACTTCCCATGGAAGACAGTGCTGGGGGATCACGGCGTCTTCAATAGGGGAAGCGGCGCCCACGAGCGTCACTGTCGCTGAGGCTTTCACCCAAGATGTCCCCCAACACATCGTCGGGCCAAGACCCTAGGTCATAGCATGTTGTCTCCGCCATCGTCGCTGCCCTGCCATCCTATAGAAACCCTTCCAGAGGGGCATCGACGCGCCGGTTGCATGCAACAACCGCATAGCCGAAACCATTGTCAGCCGGCGATGCCACCCCCTCCGGCCGAGCATACGGAACCAGGCTTTACCTTGTTGTGCGTGTCACATCGCCGCAAACCGAAGCCGTTGTCGGCCATCGTCGCCGGCCCTGGCACCCGCAACCAACGTTACTAGCCCCTGCCGGGCATGCGTGCCCCGCCACCGTGGCGCCATTCCTAGCCTAATGGGCTCCGGATCTGACCGCGAGGATGGAGAACTCGGTGCCCTAGGCCTACGCAGCCGCCCCCACCATGGCCGACACCACCGGCACCGCCCCCCGACCTGGGGACGACGAATTCGGCCGCTAGGGCACGAGATCCGATAGACTAGGCCGGCCCAACTGCCGATGCCATGCGAGGAGGAAAGGGGACGGCGGAGGGGGAAGAAGAGAAGCCCACCGCTGTCGCCGCCCTGTGCCTGCCCGGGCCTATAACTGGCGCCGCCGTAGTCACACGGCCAGGCGGCGAGGCGACACCCTGCCAGCCCACGACATCCCACACCGCCACGCCACCAGACGAGAGGAAGGGACCCACTGCCGCCATCCTGGCGGGCCGTGTGGCCCTATCAGTTGGCTGCTTCGGCGGCGGCGCATCGGGAGAGAGGAGGGGAAGGGTGGGCGGGGGCGCGGCGGTTAGGGTTTGTCTGCCCGAGTTGCCCACGTGGGGGCGACACGGGGGTGTGACCAAATGGCACTGTATAAAACATCAGCCACAACCAAACATAACCCTATACACGTGATTGGTTTCCGGGTCTAGGGTGTCAGCCAGGCGGGCTCCGTGCAAAAGCCTCCCCTGGACTAGCTTGCCCCATGCGTAAAAAAATCCACGTTTTGATGGCCGCACGCACGGGCAAGCACGCGGGAGAGCATTTCCTTAAAGACTGGCTGCATTTTCCGTGCATTTGTTTGTACATGCATCAAACCAAACAGCAACTCTGCTAGGCCAGGTTGTTTCCGCGTGATGTATTTCTGTTATGCTATAATGGAAATGGGGTTGTCTCTGTGGGGAAAAAAAGGTTGCGCGAGAAACAAAACATAACCCTCCTGCACGCATTCAGTATGGTTGCTGAGGGCCTGGATGCCAAGCTTGGTGGCAGAGGGTGCCAGGAGAGGTCTTTGGTCTTTAAGCCGTGGACTGTAGACTGTAATTTTCACCCTGCCGTTGTTGGGAGTCCAAACTCCAAAGTTGCGAAAGGATAGTAACATGTCAGCTGATCGGTAGAGATAACCTCGATCGAGTATGAAGTAACTCGAATGACCATCTCCTCAAACGAAAGCATGTTTGACAGGTGTGGCTGCAGCTGAATATGGAGGTTGCAGAGCAGTCCATCTGCTACTGATGTAGCGCAGGCGCAGTAGACACTGAAAGGTAGGGGAACCGTTTTCCTCTCAAAAAGAAAAATGAAAGGTCAGGGAACCGTTTATCATTAGGGTCAATTTCGTTGTATGACATAGATTTTCTTAAATTCTAAAAGTATTTGGAATGAAGTTCCACGATATATTCCTATTCCTCGTTAGTTCCCCGAACGTGCACTAAGACCATGTTCCACATTCGAGGCTGATAAAGCTCAAACCTCTCAGTCTATTTGTCATCTTCAATCTCCAGGCAGACGTTCTTCAAATCGCGTCAGAGCTCCATGAAAAACACTCGGTGACATTCAAAGAATTGATTTCAATTGAGGTGGCGAGCAAAATACACTCGGTGACAACTATATGAAGTTCTGTGGACAGAACAACATCATGGCAATACAAGTTCCAACCTCCAAAGCTCTGAACACAACATTCGAATGGGGGAATTCGTGTCAAGGCAGGTTGCACAACCAAAGACTAAGGAAAAGAAAGATCCAAAAGTATGATCCTGCAATATTGACCTTCCTTACAGAGAACGTGTGATAACATGCCATTGCAATGAAGGAAATGGAGCCAAAGTGAGCTTGAATATAACGGTGAACAGCAGCCCAACCTCGAATATCTAAAAGAACATGATCAATTGCCACAAGCAAGTTCTTTCACCAACTGTAAAACCAAATCAGAAAGACAGGCAAACGATTCTAGTTGAAAGTTAACTTAACCTCCTCTAATTAGCGCATTACATAATATGCTAAACATAATGCCTATGCAGTCATGTTAAATAAGACCAGTCTGCTGGATATTGTAGACTAAACATTTTGAAACATTAATAAGCTTATGTTAATTGCATTACGTTGGGTCTCGGTTGACGGTAACAGCCAATAAGAGTTTGATCACAGATAAACCAGCACCAAGGGCATCAAAAGATTCAGTTTCGGAACTATTGAGTTTACTCTACACACAAACGTAGTATCTTGCTGCTACATCAAGAACTCTGAAGGAATATAGAAAATCATTTAGGCACATGCTTATATTAGACCAATTTTCGTATTCTACCATTGCTCAGCATTTTTTTTTGAAGATGGAAATGCAAAGACTAGATCAACCATTCATCACAATGTACAAAACTTCAAACCATGAAACATTAAACTGCGGCAATTGCAAAGGGATTCCACATTACAGCATTCATATACTCCACATTCAAAGGAACAAAAGTTAACCAATGCCAAGGTTTGCTCATCAATCATTATTCTTCATCAAATCCGTAACATAAAAGGGGATGGCACAGCTTGACCGAGCCAGGGGAATGAAAGAAGGCTCACAGCGTCAAAAGCCGCACGTCTTGCCTTTCGTCGCGGCAGGCCATTACGGGATGTCCCACGGCTTAGGCTCGGGGACAGCGACAACCATCCCCTGCAGCTCCGGCGCGAGGACGACCTGGCAGCCCAGGCGCGCGTGCTTGTTGAGCTCGCGGTTCCTGGACGCGCGCGTGAGCACGTACCGCTCCTCGTAGGACGGTGGCGGCAGCTTGTCGAGCCACTCCTGCGCGACGTGGACCTCGCACTCGGCGGAGCACGCGTCGATCTCCTCGAGGCGGTGGGAGGCCGGCTCGATGAGCCCCGCGTTGGCCAGCGCGCGGAGGAGTGTCTGCCCCGAGAGGCCGACCACCTCGCGGCGCGCCCCGTCGGGATCGATGGCGAGGACGCGCACGATGCGGTCGGCGACCTTGGCGGACGCCGCCGCGGGGGCCGGGGCGGCCGAGGCGGCGGCCGGGGAAACTGCGCAGAAGGAGCGGGCGAGCGAGGGGGAGAGGTGGAGCGGGAGACGGCGCAGGACGCGCGCCGCGATCGCCATGGCTGATGCTCGGGTAGGGTTCCGGTGGGAGATCTGGGGAGACCGAGAGGGAGGTCGATGAGGACCTGGGGACTGGGAGAGAGTGGAGGCCAGGCCAGAGCCCAGAGTCGCTGAGGGACTGAGGGTGAGGGGTGCTGGGTCGCTGAGAAGTGGGCTTTCAGGGCTTTGGAACACTTTGGGCCCAACTGTGCCTGTTGATGCGTAACGGAAAACCTACCATGTGACTCGACTCCAATCAACTGACGACCTTTAATGCAATAGTACCAGTTGGTGGATTCTTTGGCATTAATTTGTATATCTAGACTCGACTCGCCATATATATATATGCTATAAATAGAAGTGTGTTTTGCAGCATGTTATACAGAAGGGCCACTAGTCAGGATTAGTTAGCTACCATAGAGACAGTAGTTTGTCCAAGTAACATCAGTCCTCTAAGAATACATGATGGCTGAAAGCGTAGGCCTCAACTCGTAGTTTTTGCTTTTATTGTTTACCATGTTTGGAACACACCGAGCATGGGGTGAGCAGGATTGTTACCGTGAGAAAGATTTAGTTAAGGAAAGATGCATGGAAACCATCAAAATTGGAGCCCCTTATGTTCCACCAATTGAATCATGCCGTCATACTGTGGGACAATCTGACATGACTTGTATATGCCGTATCCTCACCATTGAAGAGTTGCTAATAGTAAATGCAGCTAAGATTGTTCACCCTATTCACTGATGCTGAAATTTGGTTTATGATGATGCTTATACTAAAATGTTGTGAGAGGGAAACATTATTCCATGGCTGAAAAATAGTTCTAAATAAGCTCAAACGAACAGGGCAGTTCTTCTTGCAAAAGATTGTCACAAGCCCGTTCCAGCCGGGACCAAATGTGGAAGTAAGTATATTAAATATGTATTTTTAAATAGAATACCTAATGCTATCATGTTATTCAAGTAAGGATTTTACAAATTATTCTCAACATCTCTATCTATGAATCCTGCAACCAAAAGCGGGCTAATGGATAGGGCCACGTCGCCCATTAGCACGATACCTGTTAGATCAGGCGAACATAAGATCTGGTCCGTCCAATGTGGATCGGTTTGGATCTTCTACCCGCTTTATCATTTACCCGATAGATCACGAAGGTTCGCGACCCGATGCTTGTCCCCTCCGCCTGCTCCTAGCCCTAGGCAAATTTTACAGAGAATCAAACCGAATTTACCGAGAACCGAAATCTCGGTTCCCTATTCGGTTCTCATTTTCGAGGAACCAAAATTTGTTCGGTAAAATCGGTTCGCCCTTGATTAACCGAACTAACCGAGGAACCGGCCCACTAGGCAATAAGGCCCAGCCTAGCTGACTGGCGACTGCTTCTGTATGACCCCGACCCCGAGCGAGCGTAACCCTAGCCCGCACTCATGCAGTCCCGTAGGACCGCAGACCGCACTTCCCCACCCGCGATTCCCCACCCGCGCCGCAATCCCCACCCTCGCCGCCCGCCTCCCCACCCCCGCGGCCCCGCCGGCCGCCGCATCCCTGGCGGCCGCCGGTCGGCGCGCCCTCCCCTCCCGGACCCGGAGTCCCGGCCCTGGCGCACCCCCTGGACCTGCGTCCTCCCGCCGCATCCCCACCCGGCGGTCCAGGTGTCCAGTGCCCTCCACCCCAAGAGGCCAAGACGGCTACATCCATTGCCTCCTGCAGTGTAAGTTTTGTGTGAACAGTCATGGAGTTGATTCCTTGCCTAGATGTTAAGTACCATGTTAAGTATGAACTTGGAGTTGATTGCTTGCCTACATCCACTATGATTCTATGAACTATTTTATTAAGTACATGTACCATGCCTAGATGTTACAGTCATGCAGTTGATTCCTTAAAAGTTGTTGGCAGATTATAGGGGAACTATCTAAAATTGTGCAGATTATAGGGGAACTATCTTAAATTGGCAGATTAGCCTGCTTCCTGAATTCATTGTGGAACTATCTAAATTTGTCATAGATTTTTGCTTGAGGAGGACTATCTAAAGTTGTATGTGGCCAAGTTAATTCAGTAATTGATTTCATTGTGGAACTATCTAAAATTGTCATAGATTTCTGCTTCCTGAATTCAGTAATTGATTTTTTTAATTATTTTTTTAGATGTCTCAGCTTGAGGAGGACATTGACCAAGAGATCAGTAATTGGGTTGAGAGCCATGGGAATGAAGAGGATTTTGCTGGTGGAGATGGTGGTGCTGCTGGGAAGGAGGTCATCAATGTAGATGTTGAGGAGGAGAAGCCGAGGAAACAGATACCAGCTAGATCCAACATGTGGCAACACTTCGCCAAGATCAAGGTTGATGGTGTGGTGGTCAAGGGAAAATGCAATTATTGCAACACTAAAATCATGGCACATCCAGTTCATAATGGTACGTCTGGCATGCGTAAACATTTTAACACTTGCAAGAGTAATCCTCATAGGGCTAGTGATGATGAAAAGCAAGGTGTTTTGCAAGTAAATCAAGGCAATGGTGTAGGCACTTGGAAGTTTGACCCTGAATTGCTTAGGTCTGCCTTTGCTGAAATGATCATAGAAGATGAGGAACCTTTTGCAAAAGGTGAAAAACCTGGTTTTAGAAAGTTCATGGCTCTTGCCTGCCCTCGGTTCAATTTGCCATCTAGAAGGACATGCACTAGGGACACTGTGCAATTGTACTTTGAGCATGAGATGTGCTGCACATATAGTTAATTTGATAGTGAAAGATGGTTTTAAAGAAGTAGACAATTCTATCAAACGTGTGCAGGCTGTTGTTAGATTTATCAAGAATGGTACATCAAGATTGGTCAAATTTAGAGAGTGTACTGAATTGGAGAAAGTGGACAGCAAGGCATTCTTGAGCCTTGATGTGTGCACTCGGTGGAACTCCACACATGACATGCTAGCTGCTGCTTGCACATACGAAAAGGTGTTCACAAGGTATGCAGATGAAGATCCATACTATCATATTGAATTGCTAAGTGATATTAAGCCAGGTGTTCCGGGTCCGGGAGTTCCTGAAGAGAATGATTGGGATAATGCAAGGAAGCTCATAGAGTTTCTGGGGCATTTTGCTGATATAAGGAGACATGTTTCAGCGTCATTAAGTGTGAATGCTCACACTTACTTCCATGAGATTGGAGAGGTCAATGTTTTGGTGAACGATTGGATGAGCAGTGGTGATTCTGTCCAAGTAGCAATGGGAAAAAGAATGAAAGACAAGTATGACAAGTATTGGGGGCAGTGGCATGAGAATTTGGAAGTACAAAATGAGAAGGGGAAAGGGAAGGAGAAAGAAAAGGAAAACATTAACTTGCTGATTTTTGTTGTTGTTGTGCTTGATCCTAGGTACAAGCTTTCAGAGTATACAGAACTTGCAATAGAGGAGATGTATGGTGTGGGTGTTGGACAGAAAGTTTGGGCCGCAGTAACAAAATGCTTGCGTGACCTTTTTGAAGAATATAGGGACACTAATTCTCAGGCAAGTGATGTGAACCAGCAATCAAGTGATTCACCCCAAAGTACACAAGGTGGAGACTGTGCTAGAAAGATGAAGACTAGAGTTGCAAAGAGGACGAGGCTAACTAATGGATCAAGCAGTTGCAGCAGAGGCAGTAGGACAGAACTGGATAGGTACTTGGCTGAAGAGTGTGAAGAAGATACCAAAAAGTTTGACATTCTTGCTTGGTGGAAGGGGCAGTTAGCTAGATTACCCATATTGTCTAGATTGGCTCGTGATGTGCTTGCCATCCAAGTATCCACAGTCGCTAGTGAATCTGCCTTTAGCACAAGTGGGCGTATACTAGATGATTTTAGGACTTCACTCACTCCATTTATGGTTGAAGCTCTTGTTTGTACTCAAGATTGGCTTAAAAGGGCGACTCCCATCGATATTGCAGAGAATACAGAAGAGTTGGCCAAACTAGAATAAGGTGATTCAATATGTTATATCTTTTGTTTGGTGTTTTCATTGATGAAAAAATATTTAATATATCTTTTTTAGTCTCATTTCAGAAATTATTCAAGAGTTCAAGGACAAAGCCATTTTGGATGGCCATGCTGCAATGTCGCAAATTCAAGGCAGCAAAAACAAGATGGTCACCTCCACCAACATCAGTTCACAGCCAAGCAAATCCTCACAAGCAAGCAAAAACAAGAGCACAGACAAGTCCTCCTAGCCTACAGGCTACAGCTACATGATCATGTGAGGTAAAATGTATATTATTTTTTTCTAGTCATATACTCATGATCAGTTCTTTTATTTCTTACTTGTTGCAAATAATATTTCAGGTTTACAAAGAATTGAAAGAAAGGATTGACTTGCTGGATGCCTAGAGCCCTGGATGGTTTGGTTGCTGCCTTGCTGATTGCCTGGATGTATGTGCTATGCTGTGTTCAGTGCCTGTGCCTGGATGTAGCCGCTACCTGGATGGTTGCTGGCTTGCTACTTTGCTGGTTGCCTTGCTGATTGGCGATTGCCTGGTCACCTGGATGTATTTCAGTATTTGTGTTGTGTTGTGCTAGTGTAGTAGTGTGCTTACTTAGTGTCTTGCACTCTTGCTGAATGCTGATGCCTTGCTTTAGAAGTTAACACTCTATTTATGTATTTGTTACTCTGTTTGACTGTTATATTTGTCACTGTGGTTTTGTATGCAATCCTGCTGAAATGTTGTCAAAATTTGCTATTGAACATGCTGTTACATGGATTTTGGGTACTGTTTGGTTTTTCGGTTCTACCCGGAACCGAACCAAAAGAACCGACACCGAACTTGGTCGGTTCCATGTTTTTTGAAGAGCCGATCAGTACTGGTTTTTTGAGAACCGAACTTCAAAAATTGAAGAACCGATCGGTTTGGTTCGGTAGAACCGAATGCCCAGGGCTCCTGCTCCGCGCCCTCCCCATCTCCACTCCACCCTCCACTTGCCGTGCCACCGGAGCGTGCTAGAATAGCGGTTACCAACTGGCACTGGCGACTGGCCCTCGATGCGGCAGGGCGGGGATCTGGCGGCGGGCCCTCGACGCGGTGGCACCTAACTACACCTACTTCAAGCTAAAGATGCTAGGGCCAAACGGTGTCATCACCATAGGTAGCACCTTCTCGTACGCCTACACATGCGACCGTGAGCATTACGAGTTCGCCACTGCTGTTATTCAACTCCACCGAGCTCCCGAAGCTCAGGAATTCAGTGACTCCAGCAGTCCCTAACTGCAACGGGCAGACCTCCTCAAGAACCTTCCATCCGACCGAGGAAACCAAGGCGGTGGAGATCGACCCCAGCAACCCAACCAAGAAGGTGCAGATCGGGACCAAGCTCTCGGCCAAATAGGAAAGCGAGCATGCCGACTTCCTACGCGCAAATCGTGATGTCTTCGTGTGGAAGCCTTCTAACATGCCAAGCATATCGAGGGAGGTCGCCGAGCACACACTACGCGTCGTCCCGGGCTCAAAGCCCGCCAAGAAACACCTGTGTCGCTTTGACGACGAGAGGCATAGGGCCATAGGCGAGGAGATCACCAAACTTCTGGCAGCCGGATTTGTCAAAGAGGTATACCACTTCTACTAGCTAGCTAATCTTGTTCTTGTGACAAAGAAGATTGGGAAATGGATAATGTGTGTTGACTATACTGGCCTTAACAAGACGTGCCCAAAGGACCACTTTCCTTTACCATGCATAGATCAGATAGTCGACTAAACCTCAGGGTGCAAAATCCTCCCCTTCCTAGATGCATACTCAGGCTACCACCAGATCACGATGAAAGAGTCCGACCAGGTCGCGACTTCATTCATCATCCCGTATGGTTCATACTGTTATGTAACCATGCCTTCCGATCTAAAGAACACTGGCACCACCTATCAACAGTGCATGCAACGATGCTTCACCGACCAAATTGACCCGCCCGACTAACCTGACCAAGTCGAGCGGCCAAAACCAACAATCGTCGTCTTTGTAGATGACATAATGGTGAAAATGGCTCAAGCTAGTGTGGCAGAACCACCCGAAATAGCACGCTTCCAGAGGCGCTCGTCTTCCACTAGACACAAAGCACCCTGAAAGTCGGCTACATCGGACGGTTCCGTCGAGCACACCCCAAGGGAGAACTCGAACAATCCACGTTTTTCATCCGGAATCCAATAATGAGAATGAGTTTATAATACTTAGTCCATTTCATACAACAAGAGTTCTCAGAAATATGTTATTACAATATCAAGTTCAGGGTGCGGAATTTAAATAGCAGAATTAAAATAAACATCTAACGATAAGATACAAGGATCCATTTGTGCCCACCAGAAGAATCCTCCACACAACAACCACTCCTCAAGCTGCACCTACAATAGGGGTATATAAACCCTGAGTACACAATGTACTCGCAAGACTTACCCGACTAGTGGGAATAATTTTCGGACTCCAAAGGATATGATAAGCTTTATGGTTTGCTGGGTTTCCTTTTTGCGAAAAACATTACTAGTAGCGAATTCTTATGTATGTGTTTTATTAGCAGTCATGATTAGTTCATTAGCTAACCATTCTATGTAAGCACCTGTTCTACTTTGAAGCAAGAGTTGAGCAATCAGATTCATTCACCCCCTTTCATCTTCTAGTTCTTACTACGGTGCTAGACCATAGCCAAGTCATACCGTATCACACGGCGATTCATGAACCAATGTATCCCAACTGGGTACTCCGAAACACACGCCCTGCTTGTACCCCAGGCATAAGCAAGACCAACCCACCACTCTCCTATCAATGGGTCTAGGTCCCCGTCCAAACTTGGACTCCAAGCCCCCACACCTGAGTCCCGGACTCAGTGTGGTGCTTAGACCTCCACCATCTCCACCTCCAATCAGTCGGTCTGGAAAGAGTCAGAACCCACAACAAGAGAGCAACGAGCCTTCCCGGTCCCATAAGCAAGTATGTGCTTAGGATAATAAGTCTGTGACCTGACTACCATCCACAGCAATGGATGGTCCTTAACCAACACGGACAGGAAAAACAGTGTAACCAAGCTATGCCTCATTGGCCACGGGACACAACCTATTACACCCACCAATACCCGTACCATATCCCTGCCCGGTCTCTATTTCCTTTTACCATTTTATCATGAGAGTAATAATAATAATCACCTATTGTGAGTAACGATAGGTTACTCACGCTACCTATAGCCTAAGCATAGCAGCTACTCAACCTATGCTAGTAGGACTCATAGGTAGGTTTATCTATGCATGTAGTTTCAATATAAATCCTATAACGTAAATGCACATCACACATATATATATCCAGTGATTATTCAAAATAAGGGTTATGCACCGAGGCTTGCCTTGGGCAGGCAGATTGTCAGCTATGTCAGTCATCAGTGGATGTGGGGCTTCCTCCTATACGAGAACCTCCTCCTCATACTCCTCGATCACCTCCTCGTACTCCTGCTCTCCGGCGGTCACAAACTCCACCAACTCGTTCTCTACATGCATGCAATGATGATGCAACACTTAGTATTTTGGCAATAACAACTTTTAAAATAAGAATACACATGCTAAGCTACTAAGCTTGCTCTAATGACTAAGATACTAAGCTAATCATTATCTCTACCAAATAGATTTCAAGCTCACCCTACAAGTGCTTAACTTTTATAAACCAATATCATGCCATTATTCCTTTAGCCTTAATGGGTATTTAGCTACCATATTAAGTAGTCTATTCTAGGGCTACAAAATTATAGTGAGCACATAATAACACAATGAAGCTACTATAAAAATTTTAGGATTTTTACTATCACCAATCTACCACAAAAATTCCTACAATTATTAATCGAAATAATACTAAGCATCTCAACTATTTTAATGCTCCTTAGCAACCACACATATATGTATGAACTAACTATACTAACAGGTAGACAATGATTTTGGGAACCTAACAAAATTAGTTTCATAATTTTTGGATATCTACATTATTTTATATTAATTACCAAAGTTCAGCTCAGAATTAAAATGAAAAGCTATTTCTATTTTCTACAAAAAATAAACCGATTTTGGCCCAACGCGGCCCACACGAGGCGCGGCCCACGTGCGGAGGTGGCCTGTGGTGGGGAGCCCATGCGCGTTGGCACTCTTGCAAAAACACCCTCGCGTTAATCAGAAAATAGCGCGAACACTACACGTATTATTTCTTTAGACAACGACTTTGCAACAGAGCCCTCGTATCTTTTCACCTTTGCACCGGAGAGGTCCCCAAGACGCCCTGCGCTCGCCGGCGCGGCGGACGGTGGCACCAGGCGGTATGCCGGCCACTCGAGGCTTGCACCAACCCAACTAACGAGCCAAACCCCATCTATGACCCTAACGCCTACCCTAAGCGGCGATACGGAGCAACAGGGTGAACTGGAGCGAGCTGCCACCGTGTGGGGTCACCTACGATGGCGCCGTGGTCATCCCGGTGACCTACAATGCTAATAGGACGATAGAGATAGGGGATAAGCACTAGGGGCACACCTTAAACCTGGCCAAAGTGGTGGTTTGGCCGGCGACTACCTGAGCAGGGCTAGCCACAAGCGCACGACGAGCACAGCAACGAGCCGTGGCGGACATGACCGTGTCAGCGGTGGTAGGGAGGCGGTAGCGCTCCCACTGGCGTGTGCATGGTGGACAGGGAGCCAAGGCAAGCTAGTGGTGCAGAGGAATTTGCGAGGGGTGAAGTGGTGGAGGCTGGCCATGGCGCGGGCGGTGACGAGTCTTAACGGCGCGTTGGCGGGGCAAAGCTCCAAAATTGAGGCTCGACTGAGCCGCAATCAAAGTGGGGTAGGGGCGGCTAGAGAGGGGAAGTGAGGGTGGAGGCGCAGACAAGAGGGATTGATGAGAGGTGACCCCTCGCAGCTGCGGCGTCGGTACGATTCGACGACGACAGGGAGATAAGAACAGAGAGAGAGCGAGGGAGCGGTGGGGGAGGGGCAGCCAGCGACTTGGCAAGGGCGTGCCTTGGTGGGAGACGGTTGGCACGACCGGTGTAGCCCGTGTCCAGGCACTAGCCGACAGACATGCATGCTCGCGATCGGCGTGGCCCGCGCGCCATAGTGCCATCAATGGCAAGGCGACGGCGACACAGCCACGTGCGAGCAGCGTCAACGCGGGCCAGCAGCGCAGCGCGGCTGCATGCTCATAGCATGGTGATGCGATGGTGGCGGCAG